ATCTTCTTTTCTTTCAACAACTACGTATTTATTCTCCCCTACTCTCATAGACTACGTTCGTGATGTTTTTAGCTCTGGTTTGGGTATATATATACTTGCCGGCTTGCCGCGGAATGTATATATTTATATTACATGTATATATGTAAGTGTATATTATATCATACGCATGAGTGTAGATTGTGTGCAGAGTCGCTTAACCCATCGTCTCTATTTATACTTCTCAGTTCAAGCTTCTCGGTACTCCTACGAATTATTAGCCGTTCATATATCAAATAGAACGTACTGTAGAAGTATGGGCGTATGGCCAACGTTGTGCTGCTGGAAATAGTCTTCTAATTTGTTTATATGCAATTATTTCTGTGATTGAAGTCTTGTTGGGTGGCTGCTGTGCTATAAAATTATTGTTGTTATTACTCCTATTTGTTTCGTAGTTGTATTACTTACTCATTGCATTGATTATTTAGTTTGCTATGAATTATACGAAGTAGTATATGGGTAACGTACATACATAATATTTATTACATATTATACTCATGCTTATAATCGTATTTGGTTCTATTACCATTATTTCACATATGTAAGTGTAAGGATGTTTTTACTTAATTATTAATAGTGTCACTTTTGTGACATTTTATCTAATTAATAAAATTTAGTTATTTTTATTTTAAATTTTTCGGGTGTGTCACATAGATAGCGGTGCTCCATAGCCTAGCTTCTTCATTTTCTTTATCAGATCTTCATTTGATGGCAGTGGAGCATAGGCATTGAGAGTTGGCAAATGTGGGATCTCCCTAAGTGTTGCTGGTGTCGGTCGACCTTTATGTCGTTTAGAGTTGTGATCAATCGGGAGGTGTCCTTCTTTGAGGGTGTGTTCATGCATCCCCAGAATTGCTCCAGGTATATCTCTAGCATAGATGATGTCTTTGTGAATGCCTTCTAGATATAGTGACCTTTTAGGACATCTATTATCACCTCATCCTGGCACATGAACGTCTTCATATTCAGTTGCAAGGTTTTGTCCAAAATTGGTGTCCACAAGTTGGACGGGTACAACTGTGTGTAGAGTTGAGTTTGATTTTGACATGGTAATCTTGGGACATTTGGGTTAGAAGATGTACAATTGAAATTTATTCAGCAGGGTTTTTTAAAAAAATTGTAAAGATAGATCTTCGAAAAGTTGGTAAGTATAAACATCGAAAAATTCTCGAAGTTTAAACATCGAAATAAGTCTAATCTTCGAGTGTTTTACTATGGTAAGGTGTAGAAAGGCTTGCTGGGCAAGAGGGATGAGTAGCGGAAGAGCTATAGAACCATTCCCTAGAATTTTAAATGAAACATGTAGGACAATTGCAGGAGATGACTCCGAGCCTTCGAGTCCTTCGATTGCTATAACTTGCACGGTTGTACCGCATAAGAATGGAAATTAAAGAATTTACAGTGACGCTCAGATTTCAAATGCATATTAATAAAATTAAATATACACAACAATAAAATCATCATTAAGAACTTACATGGGAGAAGATGAAGGGGGAGAAGGGAGGTGAGAAACGTTGATGGAAAGCTTCCGCAGACAAAAGCGATCCTCAGAGGCTAACCTCTAAGGTGTATTGTGTCGTAAGGTTTTTATTTACTAAGGAACGAGGATGGTTGACGTTTGTTGACAAAGAAATCAAATAAGAGAGTACAAATACTTAAGCATAGAGTACATGTGCACTGAGCTATGATGTTACACAAACAATTTTTGTACGCCCAAATCAACCTTACTCTCATTCATGTTTATAATTTTTTAAAGATTAAAGATAAAGATATTAAGGGAGTGTTTGCAATGGCTTCAACTTTAAAAAAGTGATTTTTTAAAGTGATTTTGGGAAAAGTGATTAATAGTAAAAGTTGATAGTGTTTGAGAAAAAAGTGATTCTGGAAAAGTAAAAGTTGGTAGTGTTTGGTAAAATAAGTACTTTTTGTGTAATAGAAAAAGTGAGAAGCAGTTTAAAGCACCCTTCTACCTGCTTCCAGCTTTTAGCTTTTAAGTGATTAATTTAAGCAGAAGCTGTCATTTGAAAACACTCTTTTCAACTTTTTTTAAGCCAAAAGCTGAAAAGCGCTTTTTTTAAGCAAACCCAAACACTCCTTAATAACTCCTTTAAGAAAACGGTTACTCGCTGTCATACCCTGTTCTCGTCGGGACGGTTATGGATTAGAAAAAAAATACTGTTAGTACCCAATTTTGATAGATTTTTATGATGCCACTATACTTAGCAATTGTACATTGTGTCATATTCAATTTAAGTATTAGCGCTCAAATTAATTCATAGTGTGACAAATAAATGTACAATTTTTGTGACTAGTAAATTATACTAGAAATTAAAAATGCAATAAGATATTTTTATATTAATAGGATATTGAAATCCTACCAGTATAAAATTATTTGCACACAAAAATTAAACTGTCACAAAAATGAGGTTACACACACACAAAAATCATATACATTGAATGTATATGATTGGAGACAAAATTTGACCAACATTAAATACTCAAACAGGTACACGGACCTACAGCATGGGACGCACACTGAAGTGAACTCCCAGCGGCCACTTATTGAAGACAGCCGCATTAAAAGCTCCAGCACAAGAAGACAAGTGTACAACTTATCCTTGCCAGAATTTCAACGCCAAAGATTAAATCATCTCAACCAACGGATGAGATTAATCCAAAGGAGAAGCCTATAAATAAAGGCTGAAGCGAAAGTTTCAAAATAAGCTTGAGCATCCTAAGTAGAGAAATACTTCCATCAAAGCATATACGAGCTATCTAGCAAAAGAGAAAGTGCGAACTCAACTTTACTCTCTGCTTGGACTCATGCTTCACTAAACTTCCAGTTTTCAAGTATTCATTGTTAAATCATAGAAGTTTAGTTCATAGTTGGAGGTTAGAACTTTCTTGTAAACTAATCACAAAAGTGGGTGTAAACACTTAGGAGAACAGTTGTTTGGATCCTAGAGTGTAGTTAGATAGATAGAGTACCTTTTGATCCCCACTAGATCATTTGAGAAAAGTCTAAGGTCTGAGTAACTATGAGTGGTGTTATACTCATTGTGAAAAACCTTCAATCTAGGCCTAAGTGTTGTAAAGGCTAGATTAGCACTAAGTGTATTGGGCTTAATACTTTAGTGGAAATCCATCTGAAAGAGGGTGGGACTGGACGTAGGAGGATTACACCACCTCTGAACCAGGATATACTGTGTGTTGATTTACATTCAGTCAACAAAGCACACACTCAACACATCTCACTAAAAGGATCGTAGTTTGCCAGCAGCATCCTAAGCAGTAGTCTTGATTGACTCTACTGCTTATCCTTCTGCTTAATAACTCACTTTTCTTTGAGACAATCTTTCTACAAGAGCATTACATTATCTCACTAAAAAGGTCTGTTCTATAAGATTTCAGGAAATCATCATTCAAGTAGAGCAGTTGCCTCAGCAGTCCCCTATTTCCACCCAACTGCTAAGCCACTACTCATACGCACTTATTTCCTTTGAACATCTTAACATTACTAAAAGAAGCCTGTCCAAACTACTCTCCAAAATAAGTCTATAACTCAGCAGGGGCCTCAGCAGTTCCGTTGTGACCACACAACTGCTAGACCACTGCTTCAGTAAAACTCTCAGTCATATTCACTTCAGTCCATCCTAAGATAACCCTCATCATCCTCAGTAAGGCCACACAATCATCTTTCCCAAACTCCTATTTTTCACTAGCAGTTGCCTCAGCAGTTCCCTGTCTTCCAGGCAACTGCCAAGTCAACTGCTCACTGTCAAAGTCCAAGCAGTCTGTTTAAAATCCAAACTTTATCCAATAAACAAAGTTGTCACACACTGAGTATCTAGAGGTTAAAGACTTCCGCTGTGCATCTATTAATCTCCCAAAAGATTATAGATGAACTCATCTAGAAGGGAAAGTTTTTAAAGTTGCAAAAGCTTTAAAAGTCTATTCACCCCCCCCCCCCCTCCTCTAGACTCTTACCTCTATCCGGGACCATCAAGTGGTATCAGAGACGAGTGTTCCTAGAGTCAGTTTCTGGCTAATTTGAACTAAAGATCCAAAACCACTCTACTTTCCAACACACTTTCTAAATATGGACAGTCAGTTAGCAAAGAATCTCTTGTTCAACTTGAACAAATTTGATGACTGGAAGATAAGGATGAAGGCACATCTTAGTGCCCTACACAATGAAATGCTTGAAGTGATTACAGCTGGACCTATCAAAATCATGAAGGTTAGCACATCTAAAACTGATGATCAAGAAGATGTGTACATTCCAAAACCTAAACTGGAATGGACAATTGAGGACCGAAAGAGAAACAATCTTGACAACATCGCCAAGGACATTCTCTTCAAATCTGTTGATGAATCCATATTTCCCAGAATCAGGAAATGTGAAACTGCCAAGGATGTCTGGGATGAGCTCACAAAGATTGGAGCAGGAGATGAACAGGAGAAGGATAATAAACTGACCATAGCCCTCAAGAAATTTGAGGACTTCAAAATGCTGTCAACTGAATCTATCCATGAGATGGAATCCCGATTCCTGAAGATTGTGGCAGAGATCTCTGACCTAGGAAAAGAATTATCTCAAAAAGAGATTTCCCTCAAGGTCTTGAGAGGTCTGCCCTCAAAATGGGAAATGAAGGTAACTGCTATGAGAGATAGCAGAGATCTCAGAACTCTATCAACTGATAAGCTCTTCGGTGATCTCAAAGCCTATGAATTTGAGATGAAGGAAATCAAGGAAGAAAAGGAAGATGAATCAAAGACACTAGCTCTAGTGTCTGAGCCAAGCACGTCAAAAAGTACTGAGAAATCACTCAACAATCTCCTCACTGACGAGCAGTTTGCTGTGTTTGTGAGGAAGTTTAAAAGATTCATGAGAAAGGAGGGAACTGCCCCAAAGTCTGGCCTGAAACCAGTCTAAATATAAACATCCTAACTTATAACTTTACGCCCGACTTAACATTGCAATTATTCAAGAATGACTAGCAATATCATACTACCTATAACGTTTGAATCCACAAATTACAAACGACCGCTTGGAGATAATATCAAAAACACAATAACTAGCACATGGTTACTCTAATACATTAATACTTTAATTGAAAGAGAGACATCGACCATTACATGAGACACTAAAATTAAATAAAACCAAGGAACGAACACAAAAACATAATACGTAGTATATGATCAACCAAACCACTGCAGTACTGCACGGATCGATCATCTTCGAATGCCCAGCTTCGATCACTAGTACCTAGCTAGCTAGCATGGACGCCCTCTTTTCCCTAAACCTGGATTTCCACATGTAGTCACATTTATTTTGAAATTAGGGACAGATCCATTCAGGTTATTGTTGGACAGATCCACTTCTATGAGTGTAGAGATTCCTGCCAAAGACTCCGGCACCGGACCGGTAAGATTATTGTCACGGACGATGAATTCCGTCATTGACCGGAGGCTGGACACCTCGGGTATTTCCCCGGAAAATTTGTTCCGGTGGAGGTAGAGTTGTGTAATGTGGCTCAAGTTCCGTATACCGGAGATGCTGCCGGACAAACCTGAGCCGGCGGTTCCGGTTTGGTTACTCAGCCACAAAGTCTCCAAACGTTGGGGCAGGCTGGGAGGGAGGTGCCCGGACAAATGGTTGTTGGCCAACTGGAGGTGCGTTAAGTTGGGGAAGATGTCGTTGTTGAAGAAGCTGGGGAAGTCTCCATTAATGTTGCAACCGGTGGCTTTGAACACGGTGAGGTGTGAAGAGGAGCTCAGATCTTCGGGAATTTTCCAGGGCTGGAGCAAAATGTTGTAGTCTAGACTAACCCCATAGAGTACAGTCTTATTGCGAAACAGAGTTGGCGGGATTGAAGTGAACAGGTTGCGGGCAACGCCGAGCCCCCCGAGATATGAGCACCCGGCAAAGTCCGGAAGTGGGCCGGTGAGGCGGTTGTCGGCGGCGGCGAACGCATACAACTGGGTGAGGTTTCCCAGGCTTCCCGGCAGAGTCCCACTGATATTCACACCCTCAATGTTGATAATGAAAACAAAAGAGTAATTATACTGGTACGGTCTATACGCACACAACACGCCGGACCACTTGCACGGATCGGGATGACTCCAATTCCATAGGTACTCTACTCCGGCCGGGAACGTGAGACTACGATTCAGCTCCATCATTACATTGTATTCAAGGGACTCAAGGTCGGTCTGATCCAGACCCTCCGTCCTAACAGCAAAGGCGGCGGTATACAAAAGAAGCAGCAAGTTGTTGGCCGTGACTACTTGACCGGACCAGAAACGCCCCACATTGCGGCGCTGCCATTTCTTCCCTTCTTTCATCATATCTGCTGATCTCACCCGCCTGCGCTGCACCTTCAATTCAGCTTCTGATCTAAACCTTCCTGCCGATCGATTACAACAGACCCATTTTTTAATTTATTATGTTCTTGGCCGGCCTATCTGGTGTGCCTTTTATACATACATGCCCAAGCTTTGACCAAGGAATGGCGCTATCACCTTTCCAGCCAATTCAATATATGTACGTATTCACTCACGTCATTGAATTAAAGTAGAAGAAACACATTCCTACGCACTCACTTACTGCAAAATATATGTTCTACTTTGATTACATTTTATTTATTGGTTCTACTTTGATTACATTTTATTTAGAGATGATTATCCCTCATGTGACTAAAACCTCTCTCATTTCCCAATATATGACTTCATGAGTTTATTTCCTACTCTAATACGTGCATGATTAATTATTGTTTTATTTTTGTTTTTAATTCCACGGTTTCCCTCCTAACAAGATTAAAACGGAAGTTGTTTAATGTTTTTGTCTTCCTAATTAGTCGGATAGATAGATAAGTACGACGACAATCCCTTTTAATAAATAGAAATTCTAATAATATGGTAACGGCCATGACTCATCATTATAGTAATCCTAGAAATATGGTAACACATATCTATTATTTAATATTTAAATATATTTCCGATTGATTAATTATGACATATTCTCATTACTTCCAGACTTCCACAGATGTCATACTAAATTATTTTACTGCCCTTTAGGTTTTACTGACCAATGTTACTCTTTAATCAAATTTATTGCCCTTATGTTTTTAATGTTATAGATAATATATTATGTTACAGAAATTGCCCTAAATAGGAGTAAAAACGTTTTGAAATTCCAAAATAGGAGTATCATGTTTTTTATTTCTTGAATAGGAGTAATCTGCCAAGTTTGGAAGAAACTGCCATCTTTAAAGCCTTGTAAAACTAAACTTGGCAAAAATTTACTCCTATTCAGGGAATAAAAAACATGATACTCCTATTTTGGAATTTCAAAACGTTTTTACTCCTATTTAGGGAATTATCTCATTATGTTACTACTATTATTTCTATATAAGGTACATTATTACTTTAATTGTGACTGATTCCTGGCATGCCATCCGGCCCCATGCAAAAATGACTGGGAAAGCTCAGAGGACCAGGAGGATGTTGGTCCTCTCCGACTATGGTAGCTGCCTCCCGAGCTTGAGTGTCCATTTGGGCCTTGTGACGTCGAGGGGAACTTCCTCAATCTCTTCAACTGGTTCCGCCCTGGGGTGTTCCTCTTCTTTGTTAACCCCCATGGTTATGGTGTCAACCTTGAGATTGTATCAAGTCATCTTTTTGGTGATCTTCATGTAGCATGCCCTTGCAATCCTCTGGTTGCCCCTCGCATAGCCAACTCCGGTAGGAATGGGGAATTATAGGCAGAGGTGCTTCATTGATATGATGGCCTCCAAGTCCTTTAATGCAGATCGGCGCCATATAAGGTTGTGGGAACAATCCAGGCTGATGACCATGAATTCCATGTCCACCTTGGCCTTGTGGGACCTATCCCCGACTTCCACGGGGAGGACTGTCTTGTCTTCGGCCTTAATAGAATCCCAAGTGAAGCCGGACAACAGCGTCCATACAGGGCTCAGGTCTGCTCGATTGAGGTGCAGCTCCTTGAATGGACTAATGTACCTTACGTTGACCGAGTTGTGTGTCGACGTAATTGCATTGGATCACAAGATCGTTGAAAGTAATAGGATCACTCTTAAGTCTTTTCTCACGGGGTGGAGCTCGGCTTACTTCGCCAACGTATAGGGACCGAGCCCACTTCTTACGTTTGGTGGCCGAGTCTCCCCCAGTGTTCCCTGCAGTGATCATGTGGATATGGCACTTCCTCGTTTGTTGTTCCTTGGAGTCTTTATCGTCACAAAGGTTTCCGATCTCCCTTTTCTTAACGGCGGCTTCTCCCCCTGGTTGGTGTTTATCCATGTCCGTCCTGAGGGATTTTTTACAAATCGGGAGACTTGTCCCTGTTCGATTAACTTTTTGATAGCCGCCTTGAGGGTGTAGCAATCATCGTGGTACCTCAGACCCGTTGGGATGTTTTAATTTGTAGGTCCCTGCCTTGATGACCGCGGAGACGATGTATGGGCCTCCATATTTTTGGGCGAGCTTACCCCCCTCAGTTGGTTGGCTGGCCTCTCGCCTTCTTAGGATGTTGTCACCTACTTGAAATTCTCTAGATCTGACATTTGCGTCGTGGTAGCTAGGATTTAACCTGCCGGCGGTAATTTTCGGTCTAGAGGTAAGCCTGTTCTCTGCGTTCTGAGATAAAGTGAAGGTCAACTCTCATGTTCTCCTCATTCCGTTGTGCATCGTATTCCTCGACCCTCCGGGTTGGCAATATCACTTCGGTGGGGGCTTTAGCCTCGAACCCGTAACTGAGGGAAATAGGGGTTTCGCCTGTGGCGCGCCTCAAAGTGGTTCAATATGCCCAAAGAATGTTGTGCAGCTCGTCCACCCAGCTTCCTCCTTCGACTCCGAGTTTCTTTTTTAGGCCTTTCAGTATAGTTTTGTTGGCGTTTTTTACCTGGCCGTTGCCCTGTGGATACGCAACGGAAGAGAAGATGTGCTTTATCATCCCCCGAGGAGTTCCTAGAAAGGCGCGGACTCGAACTGTGTGCCGTTATCTGAGATGATCTGGTTCGGCACCCCAAACTTGGTGAGGACATTCTTCATTATGAATTTCGCGCATCTTGCACCCGTGATGCTTGTCAGCGGTTCGACCTTGATCCACTTGGTGAAGTAATCGATGGCGACGATGATGTATCTATTGTTTCCAGACCCCTTGGGCAGAGGTCCCACTAGGTCCATGCCCCATCTTGAGAAGGGTATGGCGGTGCTCACCGGTGTGTAGTTTACCGCCAGCCTTCCTGATGCTCTCTGGAAGTATTGACACGGGCTGCATTTCCTGGCGATCTCGGCACAATCGAGGGCCATGGTAGGGCAAAAGTAACCCTGAACGATGAGGCGTCAGGACATGATGAACGTTCCCTAGTGTGAGGAACAAGACCCGCAATGCACTTTTTCCATGGCCACCTCGGCCTCATTAGGGTGAAGGCACCTGAGCAACGTGCTGTTATGGGAGCGTTTGTACAATCTGTCCCCCTCGATAACGTAATTGAGTGCCCTTAGTTTGGCCAATTTTGTCCTTTCCTCGTCCTCTAGGAGCACCTCGGACAAAATATAAGACTTGATGTCGCTTATCCAGTCCGAGGGGCGAGCGTTTATGCACATCATGAGGCTGCCGTGGATGCTCGACATGCTGTGTTCCTCCACCCTTGCTATATTTGATATATGCTCGGGTGATTTAGAGCTGAGTTTGGAGAGTATGTCGGCCTCTTTGTTCCCTTCCCTTGGTATTTGACTGGTGTTGTGGGATTCGAAGGCCTTGAGTAGTTCCTCCGTGGCTAGCTTGTACTATGTCGGCCCTGTAGCTCCCAGGGCTGCCAAGGGGAAAGAGCATGGAGTACGTCCCCCTAGACCGTGCAACACAGACATTGAGGAGGGTGAGGGTTACCTTCGGGCCTTAGCCGGTCGTACCTGTGAAGGAGAAGAGAAGCGGGATATCATTGACAGTCAGTCGAGTTTGATGGATCCAATGACGATGAGGAGCCTCAGCCTGTCGTTGCCCCCTGTGGCCCCCAAGGCTATTGTGGGATATCATGAGCATGGAGCTCCCCCAGGCCGAGAGGAGCAGGTCTCGAAGAAGACGAAGGTCGCCTCCGAGTTTCAGTTTGCTGGGCAGGTGCATGAGGATGCTGATGAGAGGATGGTTGAGCGGGTTGACTACTTTCCAACCCATTATTCCACACTCCTATCATGTAGAACAATCCCAAGGGTTCTCCATATGATATATATCTCATATGGTGGAAGGAAAAATAAAGAAAAAGTTATGATAAGATTATTACCTTAATCTTCACACTTATTATTATTATAATAATAATAATAATAATAAATAATAATAATAATAATAATAATAATAATAATAATAATAATAATAATAATAATAATAATAATAATAATAATAAAAATAATAATAATAATAATAATAATAATAATAATAATAATAATAATAATAATAATAATAATAATAATAATAATAATAATAATAATAATAATAATAATAATAATAATAATAATAATAATAATAATAATAATAATAATAATAATAATAATAATAATAATAATAATAATAATAATAATAATAATAATAATAATAATAATAATAATAATAATAATAATAATAATAATAATAATAATAATAATAATAATAATAATAATAATAATAATAATAATAATAATAATAATAATAATAATAATAATAATAATAATAATAATAATAATAATAATAATAATAATAATAATAATAATAATAATAATAATAATAATAATAATAATAATAATAATAATAATAATAATAATAATAATAATAATAATAATAATAATAATAATAATAATAATAATAATAATAATAATAATAATAATAATAATAATAATAATAATAATAATAATAATAATAATAATAATAATAATAATAATAATAATAATAATAATAATAATAATAATAATAATAATAATAATAATAATAATAATAATAATATAATAATAATAATAATAATAATAATAATAATAATAATAATAATAATAATAATAATAATAATAATAATAATAATAATAATAATAATAATAATAATAATAATAATAATAATAATAATAATAATAATAATAATAATAATAATAATAATAATAATAATAATAATAATAATAATAATAATAATAATAATAATAATAATAATAATAATAATAATAATAATAATAATAATAATAATAATAATAATAATAATAATAATAATAATAATAATAATAATAATAATAATAATAATAATAATAATAATAATAATAATAATAATAATAATAATAATAATAATAATAATAATAATAATAATAATAATAATAATAATAATAATAATAATAATAATAATATAATAATAATAATAATAATAATAATAATAATAATAATAATAATAATAATATAATAATAATAATAATAATAATAATAATAATAATAATAATAA